CTTTTGAAATTGAGTCAGAAAATATAAATTTTATAGGATAGCGGAAAATACCTATAATTTTTTTGTAGGCCTTTGTAAATCGAGGAAATAGTTTATATTTTATTTCTACCTTATTAAGGAAAATGGTACCTATTATTAATAACGGTTGTTTCTGAAACATTACTAAAATTTTCGAAATTTTGTTTTTCTACAAAATAATAAACTATACTATTTAGAAAAAAATTTATTTCTCTTATAATTTTATAAAAAATAACAGGGGAATATTTACATTTCTTGATCTATTAAACAAAACGATAAATTATCTCGACGAATGACACCATGTTCTAGTACGGAAGCTAGCTTTACATTTTTGTTGGTGGTTTCATGGGTTTCATATCAATTTTTTGTAATTGTAGTTTACACGTACATATACCTCTTAACACTTGTTTGCTTTATTAAAAAAGTGTGTTGTTGTGATTTACGTCGAAATAAGTCAAAAACAACTTGAAACCCCATATAAAATCAAAAAGGAGAAACGGAAAAAAATTGAGCCTGTAAATGAACACAACTCAGAAACAAAAATAGCTATCTAATAATAAAAAAATAAAATTTGATTCTTGTGCAACTTCATCTATATCATTAACTGTTTTTGGTTTTTTAATGGTTTTTCTTGGTGATGAAAATTCCGATATCTCACGGTTATCGATTCTTTTTTTCTCTCCAGAAATGCGGACGACAGTGTTTTTAGATACTCCTGTGGCTGCAGCAACACGATCATTTACATTTTTAAATGGTATTGAAGGGGAATTAAAGTTTCCTTCTCTTCTCATAAACCCTATAACATTGGCTATTATTTCGCGACTGTTAATCACGCGGCCTCTTAATTTGCTATTAAACTACATACTTAGGTTCTATTAAACTGTAATGAGCAAAAAACACAAACGAAAATAAAAGAAATGTTTTAGCGAAATTTACATCTGACATTTACGTCTGAATGAAATAGTGAAATACTTGATGCGCAGAGTGTACTTTCATTGCGTAAATCCGTCGGGATGCCTGTCAGTAGTGCTTTCTCTGTCTAGCCGTCGAAAGCCTCTAGAAATTTGATGAACTGTAATTTTTTTTATTTTGTGTCATCGCCGTTAACTGTTATGGTTATTAGCCTCGTGTTCTGTGTAGGATTTGTTACTGTTTCCCAGTGCCACTTATTAATCGATATATCGATATAATTTTATTGATTTTTATTCTTACATTAGATTGTTATTAACTTACCAATTATTAGTAAATATCTAATCAAATTACATGCAAGGTAATTAAATGATCGTTTTATAATATGGAATTATCGAGCATATTTATTCGAAAAATTAGTTTTGCTTATTACAGTGTGAGCTCAAAGCTACATTTTTGTAATTTTTGAGCTCCCTGTTAATTTTATTTAACCTAAAAATTTGCATCGTAAAAAAGTTTTTTTTATGCAAAAACTTTAATAAAGAATTTATTTTTTATGCACTTTTGGGACGAAAAGTATAATAACAAGTTTCACTAAAAGATGTGCAGAGGAAAGAATTATTGCTCTCATTAAACAAGGAATTCCCCAAAGAGACGTAGCAGAGGCAGTAGGCGTTACCCAGGGTGTTGTATCAAAAACATCATAAAAGGTACTTGGAACTCTCAAGAACAGGCGCAAATAAAGCCGTCAAAGAGTTACAACTGAACAACAGAACCGCTTTGTGTGCCAAATTTCTAGAAGAAATCCCAGTGTTACTCATCTCGAGCTGCAACAACAATTTCTGGAAGCTACAGGTGTGAACGTTTCAGTTGAAACTATAAGAAAAAGATTTTGTGCTCGAAGGTTGTACAGTAGGATTGACCGGCTAAAATGGTGCCTTCGACAACAAAACTGGACAATTGAGAATTGACAAAATGTTCTTTTTTTGGATGAGACCAGAATTGGCCTAAGATCAGATGACCATCGAATTCGGGTTCTTAGAGCTCCAGGAAGACGAGCGAGACTCCGCACTGCTAATTCTGTCCCAAGATATCAAGGAGGAGCTGTAGTGTTCTGGGGAGATATTATGCTGGCAGCAAAAACTCCATTATTACCACTTTAAAATACTTTAACCGGTCCGAGGTATGTGGATTTAGTGCTAGAACTAATCGTTAGGCTTTGGAGAGTTGCAATAGGGGATGATTTTATCTTCATGCACGATAATGAACCTCCCCGTATCAGCAAAGTGGCTAGAGAATGTCTTGAAATGGAAGATGTCACAGTTTTAGACTGGCTTGCATGTTCACCAGACCTAAATCCTATCGAATACTTGTGGGACCAGCTCAAAAGAAGGGTTAGAGCTCGTCAAAACAATACAGGAAATGTCGCACAGCTTATTGACGCAGCATTAGCAGAATGTGAAAATATACCCCAAGGTAATGTTGACAATTTGATAAGAAGCATGCCAAGGTGAATGAGGGCTAGAGGTGGCAACACGGATTGTTAAAATTACCAATTTTCTTTCTGTTTTTGCTTTCGGCTATTAAAAATTTAAATTTCATTTCGTTTAAGACACCAAAAAAATACCGTTGTGATTATTTTGTCAACTAATTAATTTTTTTGTTGTTCTGTGAGTTATTTGTTATTAAAAGTTTTTGGTAAGGACTGAGTTTTATTCATAAACAAAAATGTTCATACATCCCAAAAATTATGAAAAATAATAGATGATTCCGTATAAGTTTGGTTGTGTGTACATTCAAAAATATTTACCGAAAAGTGAATAATACCTCGTTTCAGTAGAAAAATGCGTGTAGTTCAAGCAAACCAGGAGGAACAGCTGGATATACTGCTTCATTTCGAAGGTAAGCCCATCCATATTTATTTGCGTATAGACAACTTTGAAACATTGTTTTCCTTTTTAGAAAATTCTGAATGTAGTATAAATAATGCAGTCGACCAATTAGGCAAAACTTATTCCAAAATTCAACGTATGTTAACAAATAAAAGGTTGGACTTTTTTCGTCAGATTATTCAAAAGTATGATGAAGATCCCGATTATTTTACGAAAATATTATGGACTGATGAATCATCCTTTTCTACGGCAGGAGAAAAAAATCGGAGGTCGTGGGAAAACAAGAACAACAGAAAAAGATTGGTGAAACAAATAAAAAAATCAGGAAGAAAAACTGTTAGCGTTTGGTGTGGAATGTTCAGAAACAAAATTATTGGGATTATATAGTATGATTATACTTTGACTGAAGTTACCCATATGGAAATACTTAGCCCAGAAGCAGAAGATATTCTTTTTTTGAAATATAAAGAGAAATATTATTGTGTGAATGGTTAATTTTAAACATTTTGAGTTAGGGTACGGCATCCGAGCTGAACTCGGATCACACTTTGTTTATATCCCGAAATATTTGAAATTTTGACAAGCCTGGAACGAGCCGTAGGTGTTGTTGCTGTAGCCAAACAATTTTTATTTTTTATACCCACAAAAATCTTTAGAAGAAATAAAGGGACTGAGCCTAAATTGAAATAAAAGGTTACTGGTAAGATTTTAGAGTAGTTATTCTGAAAATATCATTCACTATTATTAAATTAATTGCAGCTTTGTCCACCCTACATTTAAAAGCAGACGAGATGGTTTCTTACAAACATTAAACACAAGAAAGAGCAAGAAAAGTCAAACGGCTTTACTAATAACAACCCACATTTTTGAGAAAAGGGTTTGCTACAGGAAGTTTTTAGTGAAAACTAGTTACGCCAAGTACCTAAAATATTTTTCTCTATTCGCCATAAGCGTAGTTATAGTTGCGATTATATTGTTTATGTTTTTGTTGTTTATTATTACAGATTTTTATACGCCATTATTACATCAAGACTGAAAGAAAACCAGGACCAGGACATGTTTGTGAACATAAAATCTGCTACAATAAAAGCTATCATTTTGATGAGCTTTTTACCTTTCCTATTTCAACCTGAGAGGTAAGTACCAAAGTAATTTTTGGTATACTTATTTGCTCATAAATAATGTAGCTTTAGGTAAATATAATATTAAAATTTTGATTATTTAAAAAAATTAAATATTTTTATTTTTCTAATGTAGAATTTATATTTTGAAAATGTTGAAACATGTGTTACAAAAGTCATCTATATGAATATTTTCCCAAATTATTTGATATAAGATTATACACTTACCGGCAGGATTAACCGCCCACCCAATGTTTTGTTATTTAGTTGGAGATATTTTTAATTTTGATTTTTTTTTTTACTTTTTAATGTCTAAGTACATCTTGAAAAAGCAAACAAATACCAATCAAATGAAAGTTTTTATTTAATTTTAGAAAATAAAAGAAACAGTTTTTGAACATTTTGAAAATTTTGAACTTTTTATAAAAATAATTGGGTGGGCGGTTAATTCTGCCGATGAGTGTATTTGGGGTAGCGACCGGGTTAGCAGGTTCACTATTGTGTATCGCAGTAAAGCCAGGCCGAGCGCAGTTAGTAGTTGAAAATTGGCGTATGTTCGAACAAACTGCTCGTGTAGTAACATACCACAGCGGGCAAGCATCAATGACTACGAGGACTAGCGTGGGGTGTGTCATCTTTCGGAGGAGATGTAAAGCCTTCTGTCCATGGATGCAGGGCTCGGTAAAAATCCCTACCTCTGGTTTGAACACCAGTGGATTCGGCTAAATTTCTCGTATTTGAGGGTAGCGTGCTCACCAGCGTCGGTGTTTAAACCTCTTACTTATAAATAGACCAATGTTAAATAAATTAATAATATATATCGTGTGGGTTTATTGTATTGTGCAAGGGTAACTTTAAACTTAAAATTTTTAACCTCACAATAAATAAGACTATTTTTTAATTTTAATTTAAATTATTTTTAACTCAAGTAAGTGGGCACTTAACTGTAATTATTTTGGTGTCTTGATACTAGAAAACATATTTATTTAACTACAAAATGTATAATTACATCTGTTTTTTTTTGTAACGGTTAATGGTTAATATCAAACATTTTGCATACCTTGTACAACACCTGAACCATCAGATACTTCCGAATGAGTTCTATCAATGTTTCCAGGATACCTTCCAGCTGCATATCCAAAAGCATACGGTCTGGGCGGAGGGGGTGGTGTTTGTTCTTCTTGTTTAACAAACAGTACGTCTCCGAGAGTAAAAGGTAATAAAATGCAGAGTAAAGTCAACTAAAAATAAAAAAAAAAATACATATATAAATTTAATTCATATCTTCTACAGTAAATTTATTTATTTATTTCTAGAGACATCTATGAAAAATTTCCAGTTTTATCTGGGAAATGAATTCAAAGTTATAGTTGTTAGTTATGTAATAATTTGTTTATTAGTGTATTGTTACGTTTATTTATTTTTAACAGTTTATTTATTCTGATTTATATTCAATAAATACACCAAATTATATTATAACTAATTTATTTGTACTCAAAACTACACTGATTTATCTTTACTCGTTAGTTTCGTAGACTTTGAGATGCTTCTAGTTGCTTCTAGATGCTCCTAGATGCTTTTAGATCAATGATTCTCAAATTTTTTTGGCGACGAAACCTATTTTGAAAAGCGAAATATTCTAGTATTTCTCGTAGACTGTGTTCGTCTTGGTGGACCGGTATGAACGGAATACAGACGCGTGGTTGAAGGACCATAGCGTAAACAAAGATCAGGCCCGGACTGGTTGAAAATGTGTCTGACGTGCACATTCCATTTTTTTAAATCTACCTAAAAAAAGTGAATTTCAACATTGAAACCAGCTAAACTAATTATTCAAAAAAGAGGTAAATAAAACAAGGGTGGTCCTTAAGATCTCACAAGAGTAATTTAATACGACCGGTTTCGAGGAGATCAGATCCTCATCATCAGGTATGGTCCGTATTACTCATCTATTTAAGACTAAGCTTAGAGATTATCACAGGGTCGGTGTAAAAAACAAGTATGCGAGTATTTTTTAAGAAATGCATAAAAACAGTAGTTGCAACAAAAAGTTGATGTCAAAACACAAGTAGGTCTGTTAGTTAAATGAGAAAAAAGTTGCGTATTTAGGAGACAAATAAAATGGCACAACCAGAAATAAAAATCCAGAACCGTCTTTCAAATCCGCCGGGAAGGTATACTACTTTGTTTTGCCGCCATTTTGGTAAACATTAGTCTTGACAGTTCATATTTGGCGGTCGTGAAGTAGACACGTGGCAAATTTATTATGGAAAAATATTCGATAAACCAACGTGTTTTAATCATTTTATCAAAATCAATCATCGATTACTGTGACGATGAGAAAGTTACGTGAAATTTTTGGGAGAAACAACGTGCCAACAAAACGTACTATTTATCGTGTAGTGAATGATTTCGAAGAAAGAGGGTGATAGGCCCAAGCATGGACCACAACGTACAGCAAGATCGGGTGAAAACATTACTGCTGCTCAAGAAAGTGTTCAAAACAATCCATCAACCTCAATTCGACGCCGTGCTCAGGAGCTTGGTCTTCAAAGAACAACTTTGGCCACAATTTTGCACAAGGATTTGCATTTGTTTCCATATAAGATTCAGTTGACACAAGAGCTTCTTCCACAAGACCATTTACGCCGCGCCGCCGTACATATGCCAATAGGATGTTACAGCTCGCCCATGACAACCCCGACTTTCATGATAAAATCAAAATGAGTGACGAGGCACATTTTCATTTGAATGGATATGTGAATAAAGAAAATAGTCGGTTCTGGGCAATGGAAAACCCTCAAATTATTCATCAGTCACCTTTGCATCCATTAAAAGTGACCTTACTTCTTTGAAAATGAAAACGGCGTAACGGTAACTGTGAATGGGGAGCGATATCGTGATATGATTGAAAACTTTTTAACGCCACAACTGCATGCTTTGGGCTTGATTAACATGTGGTATCAACAAGACGGTGCCACATCGCATACAGCCAGGATTACAATAGAATTACTACGAGACCTCTTTCCACAACAAGTTATTTCAAGAAATGGTGATGTTGATTGGCCTTCACGGTCGCCTGATTTGACTGCTCCGGACTTCTTTTTGTGGGGATATCTGAAAAGCAAGGTTTATGCAAACAAACCAGAAACGCTTAAGCAAATCAAACAAAATATTCGTGATGAAATTAATGAAATACCGCGTGAAATGTGTGAGAATGTAATGAAAAATGTGCTCAAAAGGGCTCGCATTTGTGAGACTAACAGAGGCGGACATTAATCTGATATTATATTCCATACATAATTGCTGACATTAAATAAAACATTTATCAATATAAGATCCATTCTCTTTCATTTAATCAAAAATTATAAACAAAGTAGTATACCTTTACGGCGGCATTTTTTAGCTCTAGTTTTTCCAGTTATAAGAATATAAAATAATTATAAAATAATTTTTTATTGTATTTACAGAAGACTTTATTTACTGCCAACAGTTTTTTAATACAAGGTTTCGTCACGTCTGGACCACCATCAACATTATTTTTTTAAATACGAACCTGGATACTTTTTTTAAAAAATCGTCTCTCAATACCGTATAATAAACAAATGATTCAAAATGTTTTGTATTTTGTTAACCATCATCAAATAAAGCCAGACCTGTTTAAAAACAGATGTTATACTAAAAAAAAGAGAAAATAATTTCAACTCAAATGTGACCAAGACATAAAATAAAACAAATAAATTACCACGCCATATGTCACACAAAATACGAGATACATTTTCGCTCCGAAAAAAATCTACTCCTTCGGCTGATACCGATTGAATTATGTCAGCTGATTAGTTCTAATAAGGACAAAACCCGTTCAAGAATGACGTTTTCCTTAGTAAGTAAAATCAACGTTAGAGTGTTAAAATTAAATTTCTATCACTGCGGTGGTGTTTCCTTTGGATATAATTCAATGCATGTTGTGGTATTAGCTAAAGAAGTAGTTGTTTTCCGAAGGGAAACGGTCGCTCGTATTTTGTATGACACATGGCTTCGTGATTTATTTATTTTATTTTAGATATATTACTGTCCGTAAATATCAAACACACACTCAATGCATGGCGTATGACCAGTATCAGCCGTTGCTCTTCAACTTTAGTGTTCACGCTATATACGAGTAGGTATATTGTGATAAACGCATATTTATTTTTTTTTCTAGTTTTTGTGTAGGTAACAATTAGTCAAAATTCTTTGGGACGGTAAAAATCAGTTCTGTAAATCGCAGTAAATATCAATTCCAGTCAAACTTTATGATGTTGATGAATTTTGTCAAACGCTTTACTGAAATCACTATACAATAGGTACTTATCCAATGACGATCTTTCCGGAAAGACTGTTAGTGGGTGGAGTAAAAATGAAATGGAAGGTTATCCAAATATTAAAACGTTCTTAACTAAACCTTGACATAAATGAAATTCGTGCGCCAACACTAATTTGAAAGAAAAAATTTACAGCTGTTAGATTCTAATTAAAATTAAACAATCGATAACTAACAGCTCGTACAATAAATATATCACATAAAAAATAGTGATACCTTCAATGAATAAATTCAACGAGGTTAAGGTTGAAAGAGAAACAAGATTAATAAGAATCCCGAACAGAACGAGAACCAAAAACTTAAAATTCTGTTCGCGTACGTGATAAAATATCCGATATCAGAACTTTTTATATAACCCGAAACTTCGAACACACAATTGCTAGACAGTTACACAACTTTATTAATGTAATAACTTACCGACTTCATCTTCGATGGATAGACAATAGAAGAACAATACTCGATTAATTGGTATTTAGGAAAACCGCAAAAAAAATTCGCACAACTCTTTCGTGTGGCGGGTATTGATTTGTACTGAATTCGAGAAATAGTGAAAGTGATATTTTGTTGTTGTGCGGTATTATTACGACAGTCTTGGTGGTACTCTTACAAATTTATAGTTTGGTCTTCAGTAAACGGATAATTTCCTTCATGGCGGGTTGTACAAAGAATACTGTAAACTCAGTTTAGCTAACAGAATAGTTTAATTTTTAACTGGTATTAAAAGTACAAATGTTATTTTTAAAATTATGTTTAACAATAACCGATAATTAATTATAACGAGGTTCACAGACTATAAGATTACATTTTAACTACCTATTGTACAACCCGCCCTTAGAAATAAATAAAAGTTCCTTGGTTATATCGGTCACTAAATAGTTTATTCAAAGCACAACATCTGTTTAGGAAAATAAATTTTCATCTTTTGGTGTAGTAACAAATAAAAAAAACATCGAGGGACATAAACCGTTTAAAATGTTTAAAGACGAAACAAAACTTTTTGTCTCACATCATTCGAAATATTAATATTTGATTTAACATAATTATTAGGAATCAGATATTTTAAAATTTCCAGTGGCGTTACAGTAAAAATTAAAAATTAAATAGCTTACAATTATTTGATTAATTTAAAATAAACGTTTGCAAATTGTTTATTTCTGTCTTATTGTTTCAAGAGTTATTTTTTTTTATATGTATTATCTCAAAGATTGTTTTTATGATAATTAGGCACATTTTCGACATTTCTTACATCTTTAAAATCAAAAGGGTAAATTTTCCAAAGCGTGTTTTGTTGTCAGTAGAATTTTCATTATTAGTCGAAATATTATTTTTGTTTTTTTTTTTATTCTTTTGTGTAGATAATTTTCGTCTTTAGATATACGAATTGAAAATTTCGAAATTCAGTATCTCTTAATTCTAGAGAATAGGTTAAACACTTTTCTATACATATATACAGGGTGTTTCAAAAAAAGGTGCCTTCTTTGCTAGGATAGATAAGTTTTCAAAATACAAGGTATTGAAAAAAAAAGTTGTACACATTTTTACGATTATGTCGAAACATTGTAATGAAATTTTGTATGAATGTGTTTTGGAAGAATAAATTTGTTTTATATCTGCCTGTGGGTCTTTAATACGCTAGTTTGGTGTGATGCCATTTTGGTTCCACTGACATTTAATTCTAACCAAACTTTTAATAAAAACATCAATAAATTTGACATATACGTTTTTACTGTTTTTAGTTTATTTCAAAATATTGTTTAAAGATCATAAAAATAGTTTATAGGTATGTAATTGGTAACTAAACGATTGTATATTTGATCTACTTACTTTAGGAATATATTTATAAAAGTAAAAAACCGATATAATTTAGGTAAACAAAACGAACAAAACGCACTCAAAAAATCTACTGTCCTTTAATTGTCAGTGGAACCATAATTACATCATCACTGAACTACCCTATTGTAATTTGATTCGATCAATAAATAAAGAAATAATTAACTGGTGGATATATATTGTATATTATATTTTTAAAATTAACGACATGTCGTGTGTATAAAAAATCTGATGTGTCCAACACATGACTTTCCTATCTAGTTATTATAGGCATTTTCCGGTTATTTTGTACAACCTATTGCAGCATCTCTATAAATGTTTAGAGGATAAACTAAATATATACATTTTCCACATACATCTACCTCGAAACATTTTTCTATAGATATTCATTGAAAACGAAAATACAGAAAAATTTAAATTTAGCACTTTTCCATTACGGTCCATTTTAGAAAAATCATATATAAACAAAAATTATAGAAATCGATATCGCAAACAACTTTTAGTTCAACAATTTTCATAAAAATCAGAATTTTGCACATTTTGTCAAATTTCTCGAATACGGACCATTTCAGGAAATTTTGACATAGAACAAAAATTATAGATAATAATATTAGAAGTAACTTTTATTTGAACAATTTTCTTCTCCAAACATAAATAACAGATATATTCCATAAAATATAAAAACGGCCTCCCATAAAGTACCCCCCCAGATGTTCCGACTTTGTCCAAAATCTAATCATTTCACGTCAGGCCGAAATAAACCTTAAGTTTAAAATTTAATGTTTTTTCCTTTATCCGTTTTTGAGTTTTCTTCAAATTTCGAAATTTACACATTTTCTCAAATATCTCGAATACGGTCCATTTTAGAGAAATTATGTATAGAACAAAAATTATAGAAAATTATATTACAAACAACTTTTATTTGAACAATTTTTATAAAAAATTATTTTTTTTACATTTTGTCAAATTTCTCGAATACGGACCATTTTAGGAAAATTTTGCATAAAACAAAAATTATAGATAATTATATTAGAAGTAACTTTTATTTGAAGAATTTTCTTCTCCAAACGTAAATAACAGATATATTCCATAAAATATAAAAATGACCACCTATAAAGTACCCCCCCAGATGTTCCGACTCTGCCCAAAATCTAATCAGCTCATTGGACGCTGAAACAAAGCTTAAGTTTAAAATTTGGTGTTTTTCTGTGTATCGGTTCATGAGTTATGCGTTATACAGACACACACACACACACACACACACACACACACACACACACACACACACACAGACACACACACACACACACACACACACACACACACACACACACACACACACACACACACACACACACACACACACACACACACACACACACACACACACACACACAGACATCATCGCGAAAATAGTCAAAACGGATTCAGGGGACCTCAAAACGTAAAAATCCGTCGAAAACTCGAGGTCGAAAAAAATCATGATTCCTATACTTTCCTTATATCTGTATACAGATAGGAAAGTAAAAAACTCAAAATCGGAATAATAATAAATATTTGATTCCTAGCAACGAGTTGAGCTCCATCTTTTGTCTTTATAGAACTGCCATACAATAAAAGTTTATCAAGGGATAAAAGAGTTTGGGCTTTTGAGGGAGCTGAATTCAATTTTAATCTCAGATTGGAAAAATTGACAGTTGACAGCTGGCATAACAATTGAATTCAGCGACCTCAAGAACCCAAACTCTCAATGTCAACAGAAAATATTTACTTCTCTATTCTTCGTTGACAGTGAATTGACAGCTGTCAACTCAATTTTTCCAATCTGAGATTAGAATTGAATTCAGCTCCCTCAAAAGCCCAAATTCTCAATGTCAACAGAGAATATGTACTTTTCTATTCTTCGTTGATAGTGTATTGACAGCTGTCAACGGTCAATTTGTCCAATCTGACATGAGGGTTGAATCCAGTGATCTCAAAAACATTAACCTATATATTAGAATAATTAAAATATGCTTTTGTCATCTGTAAGTAGTATTGAAAATGAATAGTTTTGCAACGGGTCAGGGGAGCTTTGACAGCTTCGTAGCTGGCGAAATATTCATTTTGGCACTTTGTTCAGGATGACAAAATCTACAACATATCAAAAATTCAGACAATTTGACAGAAAATTTCCATAAGATTATTGCGGGGTCCTTTTTGTCTCTTAAAAAATTTCTAGATAGTTAAAATTGGAATATAAAGTCGGATATTTAAAGTTTAAAACGCTATGTTTCACTTTGGACATTTGGCAACGGTGTAAGGTTATTTCTTAAGGAATCATCCATTCCATTCAAGTTCTGCACTCGCGAAATCGCTTACATCCTTTTCTTTTATTTAAGAGAAAGGGAGAAGGATTTCAGAATAGTTCGAATAAATTCCTGATTGCTGATCGCTCCGCTGGAGCCACCCTTGTTTATTACTGCCTTTTGTTTATTTTTATTTAGTTAACTTTAATATTAGGTATGTGTGTGTTAGGTCATTGTTTTAGGAACAGTTTTAGAATTTTATTACGTACTTTAGAGAGCTTACAAATTGTTACTAACACAATCTAATAACTATTACTTGAAATTAATATTTAAGTTAACAGAAGGCACTAATTAAATTGATCTAATACCAAAAAAAAAAACATAGGAACATGGATTAACTTGCGAAAATGAACTTGTTATAACACTGTTGTTACAACATTTTAAAATCAAACTTGATTTGACCGATTAATTATCTCTCTACGAAGAGTTTTGTAACAAATTAGAATTTTTATGTTTCAATTTTATATAACTTTTTACTTTTTAACCGACTTCAAAAAAGGAGGAGGTTATCAATTCGTCGCGATTTTTTTTTTTTTTGTATGTATGTTCAGCGATTATTCTTTAACAAGGTGTCTGATTTCAATGATTCTTTTTTTGTTAGAAAGGGGGTATTTCAGGGGTGGTCCCATATAAATTTAGTCAAAATCTAATAATTGGGTCCATGAGAAAATCCTCAAACTCTTCATTTTTTATGTATGTTCAGCGATAATTTTTTAACACGGTGTCCGATTTCAATAATTCTTTCTTTGTTAGAAAGGGGCTACTTTAGGGGTAGTCCCATATAAATTTAATTAAAATCTAATAATTGGATCTATGAGAAAATCCTCAAACTCTTCATTTTTTATGTATGTTTAGCGATAATGCTTTACCACCTTGTCCGATTTATACGATTCTTTTTTTTGTTAGTAAGGGGTGGTCCCATATAAATTTGGTTAAGATGTGGTGATGGCATCTGCACGTTTTTGAAGTCGGTTTTTTTAAATTTTTAATTTGTAATACTTGTTTGTATGTTTAGCGATAATGCTTTACCGCACCTTGTCCGATTTATATGATTCTTTTTTTTGTTAGCAAGGGGGTACCTCAGGAGTGGTCCCATATAAATTTGGTTAAGATGTGGTGATGGCATCTGCACGTTTTTGAAGTCGGTTTTTTTAAATTTTTAATTTCTAATACTTGTCCTGTATGTGATATACGAAGTATATTGATATAGAAATTCCTGACGTCATCAAATATATGATCTAAATTGAACGATACTGGGGTGGTGAAGTGTCTTGAAATCAAAATTTAAGTAATAATCAAAATGTCGGGGTTTTTGTTGAATTTTGCGTTGACGTCATTCGTAGAGTTAGTATAGTTGGCGCGAAATAAATATCATATGACAGACGCATGTTGCAGTAGTTTGTGAGTCGTTTATAG